AATTAGGTGAAGAGACAATAGAACTATTTGAAATTGCTAAGGAAGTAGTGGAAATACTTGAAGTAGTTGGAACAGATATATTTGAAGTTGTCAGTAATGGTAATATTTTTTTTGTTTGTTAAATAGTTGTATTTTTTTTTTTGCTTGTTGGAAAAGAGTTCACTTAATCATTAATCATAATATTTATATTTATTGATTGTAATGATTATGCATCATCTTAATTACTATCTAATTACACTTAGAAAAATGCTTAGAGCACCCTAAGTCACAATATGAGGTTGGAGTGTTCTATAGGTAAGTTAGTTATGCTATAAAAATGTTATGGTCTCGTAATCACCAACCTTTTTCGATGCAATAATTCAAATTACACATTGCATTTAAAATACTAAAGTTAGATATTATATATATATATTTTTACCTTTGATTACCGCGTACTATATTTTTTATTAAATATTTACTACTTAATACAAGACTAAGCTATTTAATAATCTAATTAGACTAAAACCCAGCTGCCTCTTCAAGATGTCCAAGTTTGGCTACTGTACTAATATTGGACTATATTCCACATATATTGCAAAGTATTTAAAGATATAATCTAGCCTGGGCTCAGCTCTCATCAAATATTTACAATTTTTTAGTCCACCAACTCGGTAGGCTAGAACTTAAAATTTGTTGTCTACCACTACTTTTGACAAATGTCTTACTTCTGACTCTACCAATTGATCCATCTTTATTCGCTTATTCTTCTGTGGTTGGTCCAAAGTTAGATATTATATAAATTTAAAAAACTGTTGATATTTTAATGTAATGCATAATCTGAGTTTTCAGATTGGAAGAGGTTAGTGATTAAGAAACTGCGACATTTTTATAGCATGGCTAACCCACCTATATTCTATACATATTGGTTTAATTATGCATGTACTTGATTTACACTAAAGAATTTTATTTTTTCAAATTCAAAACAATTATATATAAGCACCAAACATGTAATTAAGTATTAGCTGCTTAGCATATGGCTTTATATCAACTCAAAGATTTTAATAATATAATTAGATATTTTATTTAGATTATATTTTATTTATATAACTATATATAACAATAATTAAAACTCTTTCTCTCTCTATCTATCACTCGTACAAAATTTTTCTCAACAAAAAATTGCAAAATAATTAAATAACTTTTATTTTTACTAAGTAAACCCTACTATTGTTCTTAAATAAATAAATTTGCTTATAAAAATACATATAATATTAAAGTTTCAAACCACTAGCACTTAAAATCATCAAAAGAAAGACCTTCTGACCTTCAAATTACAAGCATAGAAAAAGTCCACAAGATCATTTTTCCTGTCATAACAAGCTATAGCTAATATCTGTAGCATCAAAATTGACCAAGATATAATTAAATTACCCCTACAACTTCTCTTAATTTTTTCTTTTTTTTCTTTTTTCTTTTTTGCAAAAAACCCTATAGGTGTTTTTTGTACAACCTACCCCAGCCCAAAATTGTGTCACCCACATTTTCTAATACTTTAAAATTAGTGGCTCTTCTCAAACAATCAAATTACAAATTAAATATATACAAATTATTAATCCAAATTACACAAAACAAATACTTACTTTTTTTAATTTACACAAACTACATTACTTACATCTCACAAATTTGCCTAACTTGTGCAACACAGTACCTGGCCTAACATGTGACCTAACACGTGATTTGTGTAACACATAACTTTGTACTATCCAAATTTAACTTTTTGCTTAGTGTTATATTAAACAAATTTTTACTTCACTGAAAGGCCCTTCCCAAGCTGAATCCAAATTTTTTAATTAATAAACATGATCTATTATTACAAAACCTCTTTTTTAAATAAATTTTCTTTATAACTTGCTAAATTTAAAATAAATTTTCTCCTTTTAACTTATAGTACAAATATATTACAATATGCCTACTCTTATTGATACTCAACCAGACTTCTTTGACCTCAACTACTAGTATTTTAAATACCAAGGTCGTTTTGGTCTTGGAATGACAGAAAACAAACCACAATCTCTTTGTATTCTTCCTGCTAATGTCAATTTAAAAAACTGTAAAGTAAAAAATAACAAAAACTATTACTTCTTTCTCTTACCTACACAACCTGCACTTAAAACCTGTATTTATAGAAAATAGCATACAAACTTTACTTCAAAATTCTTTAAGATTACTTCTTCACCCCAACAACAACCTGCTCTAGCCATGGAAATTTCTCTAACTATTTCAAAAAACAGATTTAATAGAATTTCTGAAGAACTTCCTGAATCACCTGCTTCTTAAATCACGCCTAAAATTCTTTTTCCCAATTTCTCTCTGCAACCAAACCCAAATCTCGAAATTATTTCTCATTCTCAACATACACACTACTGCACGATCTGTAAAGTTAACAATATACCTTGTGTTATGTCCAAGGACGAACAGTATAATCCAAATACTGAAAATAGCTCTATTTTTAGAGAAAGGCTTATCCACAATGATTGCAAACCTCATATTATTTATATCAAATGTAAACCTCTTCCACAAACCAAATCTATGACTCCTGAGCAACGAGCAGTACTTCTCGTTTATATGTTTAAATACTCTTCAAAAAAACTTAAAAAAACCTTTCTCAAAAGTGCCCTTAAACTCCTGCCTCTCAAGCAAAAACAGTAACAACAAGAATTCTCATTATCTCAAACAATAATTAATACAAATCAACAACAATAGCAACAACAACAACAACAACAACAACAACAATCTCAACAAAAATCTTCCTTTTTCCAAGAAAATATTAATACAGACAAGCAATTCAACCAAACAGATAAAAAATATCCTCTTCGAGATACTTCTAAAGATCTAAACTGGTTTAAAAAAATCCAATTACAGAGAGTATGAAACCAAATACAAAACTAAATACACAACTTGTGCAAGACTTATTTAACTTTATCAAACTCTTTATCCGAGAATTTACCCTGGCCAACCCATCCCTTCTATGAAAGAGAAAGCCAATATCGACAATTCAAACTACAAGCCCCCAAAGCAAAGTTTCACCTACCTATTAAAAATAATGACAGAAAAACGTTCTGAGTTTTTTATTAAATTTCTTAAAGATTCAAATCCTGAAGTTGACTCATCCTTTATCTTTCCTTTTACTGCAATTCAAAGTATTCTCAAAAATCTTCTTTTCAAATTTACACAAATCCTTTTAACAAAACTTAATTATGTATATATCCTCTGCTTACACTATTCAATTCTACCTTATACTACTACAAACCAAGGCAAAGTTGCTATTAATTTAGCATGTTTATATTTATTTTTACACAATCGTTATCAAACTATTTACTATCAAAACTTTATTAAAGATTTAGACCTCAAACCAATCCGACTTATTTTAAAATACAATATTCTAGTTGATGAGCCAAACAAACCGCTTTTTGATATCTATAATGATAGAGGATTTAATATATTTATAACATTAAATATTTCTAAAAGTAAATTTCTTAAAACCTTTTGCATTCCATCACTTAAACCACACTTAAATACACTTAAAAAATGGCATGAAAACTTCTTTGAAGCATATAGAAAACAATTCAAAAAATTGACAAAATCAAAGTTTTCAACTTTATCAAATATAAAATAGCAACTAAACTTTCTGAGAACTGTAAAGCCCTCTTATCTTTAAAATTTGATCTCACAGAAGTTTCTTCTTTTGAAGAATGAAAAGACAATTTATCTAAAGCAGCACTCTTTCATTTACATACATGTAAAGACAAAACTTGTAACATTCTTCAAATTGACAAAGAGCACAATCTTAAAGAATTATATTCATATTTCTTAAAAAAATCCTTCAAAGAATTTCCTGCTTCAAAACCATCTCTTTCAAATAACTCTGAAACTAAAAACCTTCCTGAACTTGACTTTACAATTTTCTTATCTGATCAAAAACATTCTGCAACCTTCACTAAACCTTTTCTACTAGCTTCTTTCAAAGAACTTGCAATTAAAGTCGACCAAAAATATACAGAGCTAAACCAAAACTCAATATCAACTCCTCAATGAATTACCTTTTATATACTTATACATACTTAAGACAATACTTCTATCAAGCAGCAAAAAATAATAAAATCGAAGACTTTAAGCTTGATGAAGCACTTACAAAATTTATTAATATATCTTCAGACCCACATACTCTTGCTAGAGTTATCTTCTTCTATAATCTTACCTTTAAAATCTTAACTTCCAAATTTAAGAAAAAATACAACCAAAAATACTTCCCCCAAGCTGAGGAATTCATCATTAAACACTACAAACTCAAGATCCCACACAACTTGATGATTCACTTTTCTTTAATAATCAAATAATTATACCCTCTGCCTCCTGTAACCTTTTTATATAAACATGTTTTTTGCTAATAATATAAATACAGCCACCACTATATTAAAAGATATAGCCGATATAATTAATATAGAAAATGATATAAGTGGGTAGGTGGTAAAGCCTATTTACCCAGAAGGGTCAAATAATGACAGTCTTCTAACGAATGACCAGGTAACCTTTGATCCTTGTGAAGCTGTGCAAGCCGGGCATATGGTGATTGCAGCAAAAGACATCCTCATATCTACTTCAGACTTCATAACATCATCTCTTTCTGAAGTAGCATCTAACCCACCAAATACCAACAGCAATCAACTCCCTAACTCCTCTGATGAAGAAATACTAGAAGATAACTACAATAGTGATGAATACCGTACAAACCCCATGTTATTATTATCACTATCTTATGCAAGATAGTGGAATGGTTACTATGAAATTGATCCAAATACATGCTTCAACAAATTTCTTCATTATTACAGATTGCAACTTTTACCTTCAGAACAAACTATTGGCTCATTTTTGCAATACATACAAGAAGAATATCCTGAATTTTACTCAAACTACTATATCAAAATATTTTTAAAATTAACTCATACTAATTATTTCTTCTCTGAAGCACATATATACCTTCTTCATAAAGGAATTTTACCAAATCACACAAACTACTATCTCTTTGAATATCTCCACAGCCATTACAAAGTGCAACTTAAATCATCCTATTTACCAACCTTTATTGATGATTCTCTCTTTTTCAATTTATCTGCAAACCCTCCAACCTCACCAAGCCTTAGCACAAACTCTTCAAACCTTTCTTCACTATATTCTGAACTAGACTACACTCTATCAGCTAATCAACATGATTTATATTTTACAATAGCTACTCATAATATCAGAGGCTTTAATGCCCCTTCTAAAAGACAAATCTGGCAAAATTACTGTATTAATCACAACATCTCTATCACTAGCATCACTGAAACTAAAATTTTAAATAAAACCAAACTCTCCTTTTGCAATAATAATTTCTACACATACTACTGGGCTAACTCTGATAGCTCTATAGAAGGAGCAGCTATCATGATCTGCAACTATCTTAAGCCCCATGTTCATAGTTGTCTAACACACCAAGGTGGAGCTGTAGTACTAGATCTCTTCTTTAAAAGCAATATCAAACTCCGTATAATCTCAATCTATCTCTCATCAACTGACTCTACCTCACTCAAAACACAGTCAACAACTTAACCTGCAACCTATTATCTTAGAAGACTTTAACATACACGATACCATATTCAGTTCTTCCTCCAAATTCAAACTCATCAATTTTTTACACCATTCTAACATGTTTGATATTGGTGCACATCTAAACAATACTCACTTTACTTGGTCTAACAAAAACAAATCTAGTAGAATCAACTATATCTGGACAAACATCTTTAATATACAATTTCTTCTTTCATACAATATTGATAACAGTAAAACCAGCACCCTTAGTAACCACCTAATACTTTCTACCTCTTGGACTTTTCCCAATGCTTATAGCAAGCCTCCTTGCCTTCATACTAACATTAGTCATTGAATATTTGATTGTAAAGCCACCACTAGTGACCAATGCCTCAAGTTCTCAGAGCTTACTACACGACTAATATTTCGAAGCCATGTTCTACTCACTACTGTTACTCAAGAAAACATTAACACTTCCTGGCACAAAATTCAACATTTCATTATACATGCTGCTACTAAGACAATTCCTAACAAAATTTCCAAAAAATGTAGTTATAACTATAAATATACCCACAATGCACAGCACTTCATATTGGCTTTAAAAAACTTGAAAATCTTATTAAAACCTTTAATAATATCAACAACAAAAATTACTCTAAGTTTTGCCTTCCATACATCAATTTATGTATCTGTAATATCAATACTTACTCCAAATGTAACCTTCAATTACTAACTTCACTCCACTATGATGTGGTCTAGCCATGGTTACAGCATGCTTACACTATCTGGAAACAAGTTTACCATGCATACCATCTTGAACACTCACTTTGCCTCAGACAACAAATCAACCAGGCTTCAAAAAGAAGATGTGAAACATTTGTTTTCAAGCCCACCCAAGCTATTAATAATATACTCAATCGATACCAGCCTCCTGTTCATTTCACTAATATCAAATTATTAAACCAACTTGTCACTGATCCTACCCAAATTAAACAACATATCCAAACACACTTTTTTAACTGGACAGCCTACAAACCTATCAACCAAAACCTTTTCCACAACTTTTGGAAACAACATTACAATCCATGCCCTCATATTGAATCTAACTGGTACATACTACTTACTGCTTCTATAACAAAGATGAAGTCTTACAAACTATATCTAAACTTCCTAATAGCAAGGCCTGTGAACCTATGGGCATCAGCTATGAAATGATTAAACACCTTAGCAATCACTGTATTACTGCCCTTTCTGCACTTTTTAATTGTTGCCTGTCTCAAAATACTATGCCTCAGTCATGAAAACATAGCAAATTTATTCAATTCCAAAGAACAATGCTTTTAATGAAAATCTTAACCTTACTCGCCCAATCAGTCTAATTGAACATATCAGAAAAATTTATACCAAAATCTTAACCAATAGACTCAATCAAGTTTTTTCTCAATATCCTATTCTTTCACCTTTCAATTATGTTGCCCTATCAGGCAACAGCACATCTATTCCTATTCACATTCTTAACAATCTGATCGAAGATGCTAACTATAACTACAAAGAGATTTGGCTCTTATCTCAGGATATGAGGAAAGCTTATGACTCTGTTAATCTTAACCTACTTAAACATACTCTTCACTGTCTCTCACTCCCTCAACATATTATTAATATTCTATCTGACCTACTCACCAATCGCCAAAATGAAATTATAACCAATC